TCTAGTCTCATCTTTCACATTTGCAGCACAACTGTCTCAACTCTCTCTCTATTATCTACTCTTTGTCATTCTGTGCATTGCTACTGTAATGTTTGTTATATTGTTGGGTTATTTTGATTTTTTTTTTTTGGTTATAAAGTTCAATTTATTGAATTCGGATTGGGCTTGGACAGACAAACTTGGTTGGAGGTTGGGCTTAGGAAACTTTACGTTGGGCTAGGGCAACCCCTCAAACCTGCCTGAGTTGCATCCCTGTAAAAGGAATCATTTGTATGTTTTTTTTATAGTTGAATGATCTAAATTGTGTGGTTTTTTTTTATAGTGATTGTTGATGGGTGTCCGTGTAATTAACCTTACTGTGAATAATATAGGTTTGGCACTTCATTTTTTTTTGGAGAATTTAATACGCACCCCCGAAGATGCTTTTTGAGAAAAACTATATCGGTATCATATGTCTTAGTGTGAAAACCTTTTGGTAGCATATACATTTGCCCTTGAGGTTAGAATCTTGCATCCATCCCTGAGTTGAAATAACTTATGAACTATTCTGTCATTTGATTGGCTTATTACCGTAAAGCTGCCATTAACCCTTCTCCTTGCGTTGTGGATCTTTTGTGATAAGAATAACAAAATAGCCTTTTATTATCGTAGATACTGTCACATTTAGCAATTAGCACCTCCTTGTCTTATGAAGGTCTTTTGTATTCCTGTAGATAGTATTATGATCTGCTGCATCCTTTGTCTGTTTGAAAAGTAGTCACTGAGTATTATGATCCATCATTTAGAAAGTGATGCCTTTTTTGACAATGGTGGATTGGGCTAGGATATCCTTAGTCCTCGGATTACCCATCTTTGGGATAAACTTCGTTATAACTTGATGGATAATTTATAACTTCGTTAGCTTATGGATGCTGAAGTGGTGTTTGAATGACCATAATTGTATCTAATTTTGTTGATTTACAGGATTTTGAAGTGAACTTTTTCGTACTTCTGGCCTTTTTGTTATGTCTTTAATCAATTTCATTAGTTGATTCCTTCATGTCACTTCTTAATAAATGATATTAGGATGAATCAGTTGATATTTCTAATGTGATCACTTGATTCCTATTAGTAGAGAAATTCAGAAATGTGATTGTCAGATTGCATTGTTGGGTGAATAAGCATTAACAGTAATTCCTGCAGTATTAGCTATGTACATGTATTGTGAAATTGTCTACCAGTAGGGAATGAAGAAATAGGTGAAAGAAGAATAGTTACTGACAAGGAAAGAAAAGAGGAAGAAGAATAGACTGAGAAAAGAGAATCCACTTAGTGGCAGAGAGATATGTATGCTAAGGTCTGAAAATTCAATATTATCCAAATATCTTTAATAATCTTGCCATTGCCTACATTTCAGTCTTATATTTATATGTGTTCCAATAATCCCAAAATAAATCAAATTAAGAAAATCAAATTCTAAAGAAACTCCAATAATTAAAATCCTAATAAATAAAAAAATATCTAAACTTTCTATTGTCTTCGTCTATGCCAATAATACATGTGTAGCTCTCCTCTTTGTGGTAAATGTGTTGGAACCGCTTTCGATAGTACCGTTGTAATACCTAGTTTTCTTTTATTGTTATTAGAACCACCATGGTACATTAACTAGAGTTATATCTCTTGCCAAGTTGCTACCTCCAAGGAGAAGATGCACAAATCATTGTTAGTTGGGATACGGGTATGTCTTACTTATCAGAAAGCAAAACAGATACTATTGTTACTTCTTTTGCCACTATTATTACTTCGTATGTTCCATGGACTCGTCTTACTTTTTTAAGTGCCCATCAGTTACTTGATACTTGGGCGATGGTATGGGATATGCATTGGACAATTCTAGATTGGCAGTAATGCACCCAACAAGTATGAGTGGATAGTCAAGTTTACTATATCATACTTTCATTTTATGCATAACATGCTTTATGCTAGCATGTGAGCACTATTTTCACTCTAAATAATTAGTATTTAATAAAAACAAAATCTAGCGGTGGCCTAGTGTCCTTAAATATGAGAATGAATATGACATTTAGACGCATACACGCAACTAAAACCATATATATTTGTAACTCCTACGATTGGCAAAACCTAAAAATAAAACTCTAGTCTCATCTTTCACATTTGCAGCACAACTGTCTCAACTCTCTCTCTATTATCTACTCTTTGTCATTCTGTGCATTGCTACTGTAATGTTTGTTATATTGTTGGGTTATTTTGATTTTTTTTTTTTGGTTATAAAGTTCAATTTATTGAATTCGGATTGGGCTTGGACAGACAAACTTGGTTGGAGGTTGGGCTTAGGAAACTTTACGTTGGGCTAGGGCAACCCCTCAAACCTGCCTGAGTTGCATCCCTGTAAAAGGAATCATTTGTATGTTTTTTTTATAGTTGAATGATCTAAATTGTGTGGTTTTTTTTTATAGTGATTGTTGATGGGTGTCCGTGTAATTAACCTTACTGTGAATAATATAGGTTTGGCACTTCATTTTTTTTTGGAGAATTTAATACGCACCCCCGAAGATGCTTTTTGAGAAAAACTATATCGGTATCATATGTCTTAGTGTGAAAACCTTTTGGTAGCATATACATTTGCCCTTGAGGTTAGAATCTTGCATCCATCCCTGAGTTGAAATAACTTATGAACTATTCTGTCATTTGATTGGCTTATTACCGTAAAGCTGCCATTAACCCTTCTCCTTGCGTTGTGGATCTTTTGTGATAAGAATAACAAAATAGCCTTTTATTATCGTAGATACTGTCACATTTAGCAATTAGCACCTCCTTGTCTTATGAAGGTCTTTTGTATTCCTGTAGATAGTATTATGATCTGCTGCATCCTTTGTCTGTTTGAAAAGTAGTCACTGAGTATTATGATCCATCATTTAGAAAGTGATGCCTTTTTTGACAATGGTGGATTGGGCTAGGATATCCTTAGTCCTCGGATTACCCATCTTTGGGATAAACTTCGTTATAACTTGATGGATAATTTATAACTTCGTTAGCTTATGGATGCTGAAGTGGTGTTTGAATGACCATAATTGTATCTAATTTTGTTGATTTACAGGATTTTGAAGTGATAGAGATACAAAACTAGATTAGTGAGACAAAAAATTTCTTACAATTTTCATGTGTAGTAGTTAAAACTGATTATGATAATCACATGATAATTTGTGTTTAATATAAAAAAAATGTTAAATTTCATTTCAAGGGGCAAGTAATTTTTAATTTAAAAGTTTTTGTTTCTAAATTTTGATTTAAAAATTATGGAAGAAATTTTAAGATGAAAAAAAGAATTTTTTTAGTGTATATATAAGGAAATTTATCAATAAATCCTACCATAATCCAATTAGTCCCATAAGATGCTTAAAATGAATTTCATTCAACTATATATTTAAAAAAAAAGAAAATTATCAAATATCTAAACAGTTCCCACTTTGCACAAATAAATTAAATTTTAAAGATTTATAATTTTAGTTTATTTCATCTCTTTTATATAAAGAAAATTCCAAGAATTTAGTAACGGGTAAATCCAATTTAATTTTCAGAGTGATCAAAACCTAATTTTCATTCATGACTGACTGCTGCTGTGGCTCCAAACCCAAACCCAAACCCTAATATGCGTGAGGACTGTTCTGGTTACCAGTAAGCAACACAATACAAACCCTAGGAAGATCATCGCACTCTTTCTCTGTCCTTCTGGTGAGTCAATTTCGTTCCTTTTTGTGTTTGATTCATTCTCTAAATCTTTTCTATATTGATTGATTGAGTTCGTATAGGATCCATATGAGCTTGTAATGCATGTTATTCCCGAATTGTTTTGGGATTTAATTCTTTATCAGAGTGAGTTGAGAAAATCTTCAAGGGTTAATTTTAAAGATACTCGTAAACTGTAATATTTTTATCTCTCGATTTTAAAATAATGCATTTGGACCATCACTTTTACCCTGGGTGGGCCAACCTGAGAAGCTCGAGCCCGGTCTGAATTTTTTTTTTAAGATTTGAATAACATATTTGTAAGGCTTGGGTAGTAATTCAAAGCCCGAATTGAATTTGGGCCGGGCCGGGCCGGGCCGGGCTAGACAGATACACCGGGCCGGGCTAGACAAATATATAAATAAAATATTAGCTATTAGATTATGCTAAAATTATCTAGACCATTAGATTAATTTAAGTATTATATTGCACATAAAGAAACACCAATCTCAAATCAGTTAGCCACTCTTTACACTCTTCTCTAGAGGTCGATTATTTCTTCTCATTATGAGAGTTGTATTAGGATTGTATTGAGTTGTTTATGTCTATCCATTGTGAGCTATTCTTTGTTGTGATTGTTGGGCTTGTAAATATGCAGGATTATATAATTATATTCTCATATTTGTAACTCCTACGATTGGCAAAACCTAAAAATAAAACTCTAGTCTCATCTTTCACATTTGCAGCACAACTGTCTCAACTCTCTCTCTATTATCTACTCTTTGTCATTCTGTGCATTGCTACTGTAATGTTTGTTATATTGTTGGGTTATTTTGATTTTTTTTTTTTGGTTATAAAGTTCAATTTATTGAATTCGGATTGGGATTGGGCTTGGACAGACAAACTTGGTTGGAGGTTGGGCTTAGGAAACTTTACGTTGGGCTAGGGCAACCCCTCAAACCTGCCTGAGTTGCATCCCTGTAAAAGGAATCATTTGTATGTTTTTTTTATAGTTGAATGATCTAAATTGTGTGGTTTTTTTTTATAGTGATTGTTGATGGGTGTCCGTGTAATTAACCTTACTGTGAATAATATAGGTTTGGCACTTCATTTTTTTTTGGAGAATTTAATACGCACCCCCGAAGATGCTTTTTGAGAAAAACTATATCGGTATCATATGTCTTAGTGTGAAAACCTTTTGGTAGCATATACATTTGCCCTTGAGGTTAGAATCTTGCATCCATCCCTGAGTTGAAATAACTTATGAACTATTCTGTCATTTGATTGGCTTATTACCGTAAAGCTGCCATTAACCCTTCTCCTTGCGTTGTGGATCTTTTGTGATAAGAATAACAAAATAGCCTTTTATTATCGTAGATACTGTCACATTTAGCAATTAGCACCTCCTTGTCTTATGAAGGTCTTTTGTATTCCTGTAGATAGTATTATGATCTGCTGCATCCTTTGTCTGTTTGAAAAGTAGTCACTGAGTATTATGATCCATCATTTAGAAAGTGATGCCTTTTTTGACAATGGTGGATTGGGCTAGGATATCCTTAGTCCTCGGATTACCCATCTTTGGGATAAACTTCGTTATAACTTGATGGATAATTTATAACTTCGTTAGCTTATGGATGCTGAAGTGGTGTTTGAATGACCATAATTGTATCTAATTTTGTTGATTTACAGGATTTTGAAGTGAACTTTTTCGTACTTCTGGCCTTTTTGTTATGTCTTTAATCAATTTCATTAGTTGATTCCTTCATGTCACTTCTTAATAAATGATATTAGGATGAATCAGTTGATATTTCTAATGTGATCACTTGATTCCTATTAGTAGAGAAATTCAGAAATGTGATTGTCAGATTGCATTGTTGGGTGAATAAGCATTAACAGTAATTCCTGCAGTATTAGCTATGTACATGTATTGTGAAATTGTCTACCAGTAGGGAATGAAGAAATAGGTGAAAGAAGAATAGTTACTGACAAGGAAAGAAAAGAGGAAGAAGAATAGACTGAGAAAAGAGAATCCACTTAGTGGCAGAGAGATATGTATGCTAAGGTCTGAAAATTCAATATTATCCAAATATCTTTAATAATCTTGCCATTGCCTACATTTCAGTCTTATATTTATATGTGTTCCAATAATCCCAAAATAAATCAAATTAAGAAAATCAAATTCTAAAGAAACTCCAATAATTAAAATCCTAATAAATAAAAAAATATCTAAACTTTCTATTGTCTTCGTCTATGCCAATAATACATGTGTAGCTCTCCTCTTTGTGGTAAATGTGTTGGAACCGCTTTCGATAGTACCGTTGTAATACCTAGTTTTCTTTTATTGTTATTAGAACCACCATGGTACATTAACTAGAGTTATATCTCTTGCCAAGTTGCTACCTCCAAGGAGAAGATGCACAAATCATTGTTAGTTGGGATACGGGTATGTCTTACTTATCAGAAAGCAAAACAGATACTATTGTTACTTCTTTTGCCACTATTATTACTTCGTATGTTCCATGGACTCGTCTTACTTTTTTAAGTGCCCATCAGTTACTTGATACTTGGGCGATGGTATGGGATATGCATTGGACAATTCTAGATTGGCGGTAATGCACCCAACAAGTATGAGTGGATAGTCAAGTTTACTATATCATACTTTCATTTTATGCATAACATGCTTTATGCTAGCATGTGAGCACTATTTTCACTCTAAATAATTAGTATTTAATAAAAACAAAATCTAGCGGTGGCCTAGTGTCCTTAAATATGAGAATGAATATGACATTTAGACGCATACACGCAACTAAAACCATATAACCAAGTCCATGCAATATAGATGAGGGCTCAACCCTTGACTGGTCAGTCCACTATTTGCTTTGGAAGCCTAGGGCTCAACCCTATCGGTCCATTGCATGGACACAGGACTTTTTTGTCCAAGAAATGTAATTGGTAGATTTTTATTAATTATTATTGTAAGAATTTATGTATTATTGATTGATGTTTATTGATAGATTACAAGATGCATTAATTACAATTCCTATACAATCTATATATAGAAGAAAATGTGGTAGTAGGTGTAGTGGAGGTGATAGTGGGTTAGGTGAAGTGGAGTGTGTAGTGGAGTAGAGGTAGGTGAAGTGGAGTGTGTAGTGGAGTAGGTGAAGGTAAAGATGGGAAATTCTAACAATTATTATTTAGTTAGAATTTAAATAATGATTAGTTAGATTATTTAATTATATATTATTAAGGTTTGGTTTCTTATTTTAATTAGGGCTATTGGCCTAAAAATATAAGGCTTTGTATTATATCAATCATATTTGGATTAATAAATTGTGTTAAAGGCTGTGGCCTCGGTGTGAACAGAAGCTTGCCACAGTTGCTGCCTCTCCCTTGCACCCTGTCTCTCCCTCTCGCTTGCGACTAGCTGGAACACTAGCTAGCATCACGGTAGAAGCCTGTTTGTTGCAATTTGGTTCATCGTACCCCTCTATGGCATTGTTGGTGGTCACTACCACGACCCTAAGTTCCTTGTATTGGCATTGTTACAACTGCCATCGGAGAGTTCAAGCACTGAAACCAGCAAACACATTAGCACCACTGTGACCTCTTGTCAGAAACCTCGTTGACCCTTTGTGATCTCTGTCATAGTCACAAGGAACGCTCAGTGAAGTTGTAGCTGCTGGTGGAAGACGATTAAGGGCAAGATTCTAAAAACCCAAACTAATTGACACAGGTACAAGTTACCTGAGAGAAATTAACCACTTCTTTGGTAGATAAAGGAAAAGACGAGGTTATAACTAGTGGATCTTTAGGTTTTGGGTATGGAAACCAATAAATACCAGAGGATCCTAATGTACACAGAGGTGCCAAGCTTGAAATTCCAAATTTTAGCAAAAATATAAGCCAGAGGTTTTTTTTTTTTTTGATAAATAAACAGACTTTATTAGAAAGCATCAAAATGACGCAAAGAATAGCACAGACCACAAAAGGAATAAACCAAACTAACTAATCAAACTCTCCACAAAATCTACAAAGACCAAAACATTGGGATCAATTGTACTCGTAATCCAACTATGCAATATCATCAACAACCGGCTCTCTAACCAAAAAACGGAATGACACTCATCCTAAAACACTCACCTATTCCATTCTAACCGAACCAACCAAAGCAAACAATGGGAAGTAAGCACCCAAGCCTTCCGGCACTGCTTCCGCACCCTAGCCCACCCCAACTCTGTAACACTCCCATTAAAGACCTCGGCTGCACCCAGACTAAGCCAAACGAAGCCAAACAAAACAACGAGAAAATTCTAAAGTCTGGACACAACCGGGTAATGAAGAAGCAAATGATCCACCGTTTCCGTGTCCCTGCAATACATACAACACTAATTTACCCACCGCCAGATCAAATTATCAATAGTAAGGATACGTCCCAAAACAACTGTCCAAACAAAGAACGCAACCTTAGAAGGAGAACCAGTAGCCCAAATACATTTCCAAGGAAACACCCCACCACCTCCCCCTTCAAGTACCCCATAAAAAGAGGACACTGAGAAAACCCTTTTAGAGCTCCGGACATTGTGCAATCCATACAAAAAGCCGAGAAGATCCACCAATTGGTCGAGCTCCCAATCCTGTATATCACGACGAAGACGAACATTCCAACCAACTGATTCCCCATATTTCTCTCAAACTGAAGCAACTAGCTCCTCCCCAGCAGCAGCAATTTCTTTTGTTGGTACCAATTGAACTAAAGAATCCATCCCATCCCCCACATTGTGCAATCCATACAAAAAGCCAAGAAGATCCACCAATTGGTCGAGCTCCCAATCCTTTATATCACGACGAAGACGAACATTCCAACCAACTGATTCCCCATGTTTCTCTCGAACTGAAGCAACCAGCTCCTTCCCAGCAGTGGCAATAGCAAAAATCAAAGGAAACATTCTTTGATTAGATACACAATTTAGACAGTTTCTTTTGTTGGTACCAATTGACCAATGAAAGGAGGTGAAATAAGCGAAGGTTTTTCATCTTGGTTGACTATGTTGGGGAGCATGTCAACTATAGGAGTTCTAGAGAGTAGTACAAGGAAGTCCCACAAACTGTCACAATATGGTTGACCATCTTGATGGATGTGGTTGACCATTGTGGATGTCTCAAGAGCCCAGAAGGGTAGACAACAACTAGTAAGTCCAACTACAATCAAATAACAACCAATAAAATTTGAACTACAAAATATCAAAAAAACATTTTCTCACAAATAACAAAAGTCAAACAAACAAATACAAAAATTCAGGACAAATGCGAGCTATGTGGACTTTGATTCTCCTCTTCTTGGAGAGTGAGAAAGGCGGAAAATTATTGCTAATAAGTGGCAGGACCAAGTTAGGACAATCTAGGTGAAATAAGTGAAGGTTTTTCATCTTTGTCGACTATGTTATGGAGCATGATCAACTTTAGGAGGTCTAGAGAACAGTATGTGGAAGTCCCACAAAGTCCCTCAATATGGTCGACCATCCTGATGGATGTGGTTGACCATTGTGGCAGTCCCAAGAGCCTAGAAGGGCAGGCGACAACTAATAGGTCCAATTACAAGTAAATAACAACCACCAATAAAGATAGAACTATAAAATATCAAAAAACATTTTTTTACACAACGAAATTCATGCAAATTAAAACAAAAATTCAGGACAAAATTGAGCTAATAAGTTTATTTCCACAATGGATTTCAAAATTAACTTGAATCATTTGCTAACTAATTTGTATGTAAGCCACAAAAACCATATCAATAACACTGCAAACAATGAGATGAGACTAAGTGTCAAAGATTTTTCCAAACAAATATCATATCAACATTTCGTCACCGCAAACATTATTGTACCCATTTCCTAACAACTCGAGCTTTTGAAAATAGTGGTGATCTAGCATGGTATCAAAGCTCAGGTAGAGGGAGATTTTGGGTTTAAGTCTCTTCATTTGCATTTGTTTTCCATTTGCATTCAGCTTTTATATATGCATGCTTGCATCTCCCTGTGCAAGACAAGGTTGCATATGAGGAAAGGTGTTGGATAGCTTGATATACATTGTTTGGCCCATTTTCTAATAAAACTTTTGGGACTAGAGGTGATCTAACAGATAACACGATAATGCCAAGGGAGGTCAATAATTGATGTAGGCACAAGGGGTGTGCCAAACCACTTTGGTCTTCATCTTTTACATGCACTTCATCTTTTACTTATCTTATATGCCTTGAATGTTTGAGATGAATGCATGACTGAATATGTTAATCTTGAGTGAATGAATGTTGAATAATGATTAGTTGAGATTAACATGTGGATGAACAACCTTGACCATAAAACTTGGTGAATGATATAAAAGGGAAGTAATCTAACATCACCTCCAAAAGAGATCGGTTTAGGAATGTATATGTTAGTCCACTCTAATGTGAACAACTCGACAATAATAAAAACTTAGTTACAAGGTCTAGATTGGGGTTAAGGACTTGAAAACAAAAATATTAGAATTGTTCTATTTATCTTTCACTATAGGACTATTTCAATAATTGTAATTTGTATGCTTAATGTAGTATAAACCAAACTAGGTATTTAGTTTCTATATGCACGCATACACACCATTCTGTGAATATGTTGGGGGGGGGGGGGGGGGGGAAGAGAGACTTGTGGTGGTGAGAGCATACTTAAAATGCACCTGATGATTGACGGTTGCTGGTTGCCAGCCGAACTAGCGGATGGGGATGTACCGTTGTTTAATTAATTTTGGCCAGCCTCCCTACTGGCTGGGTTACAGACAGCCTTTAGCTCAGCCCAAATTCTGCTTAGGGCTTAAACTAAAGTCCAAGGTTGGATCAGGCCATTTTAATTGAAGTCTGAGCCTGGTCACATTGATAGCCCTACTTTTAACTCTTATTTTTGTGGTTGCCTAAGGTTTGTGACGTTGTATGGGCACCATGTACTTGACATATTAACTCCTTGAAGATGTCCCTCTTAATTGTGATTGGCAATCAAATTATAACCTAATAGAATGCTGATTTAACAACTTTAGACACACAAATTTCATATCAAAGATAAACCAAGTCTAACTATAACCAATCTCTCTTCTTCTTCTCTTTTCTTTTCCTTCTTTTTTTTCCCCCATAAATTTGAGAAGTCAGCCGGTCATTTCATTATAAGGTGTCAAAAAAGGGGTGCAGGGCGTATACAAAACTTCATGATAGTGGTATACATTACTTTATTTGATCGAATATATTTGGTGCTTTATGTAACCATTTTGCAGTTTAAAAGCCTATTTTGGTATGTTTCTTTTTCTCTGATTCAGTTATTACCCATATTTGAGTCAAAATGAGGTTTTTATTTTTCTTTATTTTCCCCAATTTGTTGGAACATTGCGTTCCTGCAAAATAATTGGGCAGCCTAATAGTTTTCATTTTATGTTGTCTGTCTTTATGAATGTAATCTTTATTTGGTTTTTCAGGTTCGGAGGAATGAGAAAGAAAAAAACCACGGTTAAACGTAGACCTGCATCGCGACAATGCAGGCCGGCTCTGTACCCATCGCAGTCTTACCATGTGGCGATTCCCAGGAAGAAGATAGATCAACTGAATAAATATTGTTCCAAATCTTTGGAGAAGGAAGAGGACTATCATGAGGCAACCTGTTCTATTTGTATGGAGTATCCTCACAATGCTATTCTCCTACTTTGTTCTTCTCACAACAAGGGTTGTCGTCCCTACATGTGCGCTACCAACCATCGATATTCAAATTGCTTTGACCGATACAAAAAGGGTGAAAGTAAGTTCACGGAACTTCTATGCCCACTTTGCCGGGGACAAGTGAAAAGTTGGACCGTGGATGAACAAGTGCGTCAATATTTGAACAATAAAGTGAGAATTTGCATGCAAGATGACTGCTCATTTGTGGGTACTTACAAGGAGCTTAGGCAACATATGAGAGCAGTTCACCCATTAGTGGGACCCCGACAAGTGGACCCCGTGCATGAACAAAACTGGAAGAAGATGGAACATGAGAGAGAGCACGATGATGTGATAAGTACGATCAGGTCATCGATGCCCGGTGCGGTGATTGTGGGAGATTACATCATAGATAACCGTGGCCCGGTCCCTGGATTCATCTGGCGTGGTACGTAATCTTATCCCTAGGGAATGTTTAACTTAAAAAAAAATTAATGCAGGAGCTTTCTAGAGATCGATCATACCTAGTAGCCTGGATGTGGAGTCCTGAAGAGAGGCTTTGACATTTCTCAATATGCATTTCAATTTTTAGCCATGATATTCTAATCAAAAGATTGATCTAGCTGCTTCTTGTTTTTTTTTTTTTTTTGCTCTTTCTTCTAATTCTTTCTTTGTTGGCATTTAAATATGTTTGTTATTCATTCACGACCTTATATTACATCCCTAATATGTTAGTTTGTTGGATTTACATAATTGATCTCATCATAGGGACATGAAGATTTATTGGTGACATAGCAATTAATAATAGTAGAACTTTTATCGTTCATTTGGTAGCAAATGAGTGTAAATATGGGAAGAGTAAATCAATTTTGTGTGGATGAGAACTAATTTTTAGTGATTTTTATCTTTAATTTTGACATTGCTCTTCTAGTATTTGTGAATTGTTATTTGTAAAGTTGTAAACAAATTGAGTTAAGTAGTAAGTTGTTTCTAATTGACTTATTTACCAGCCAATAATAAACATGCATTTACAAAATTAATAAATTTTAAAATGTATTTAATTTGAATTTATTTACATAGTAAGTTGATTTTAGATGAATTTTTTAAAAAATCAAACAAAAGTTGAGTTTGAAGAACTCTTTGCCATGTTTCTTTCTTTTTTGGGTGGAGTATGTTTGTCTGTTGAGTTTGAAGAACTCTTTGCCATGTTTGTCTCCAGGGAAAAATTGATTTTGAAAGTAGAATTATATTAAAGAGAGAGATTGTACACAATTATTACACTGTATGGTATAACAAAAGGCCCAAATTGATATCAAAGGCGTAATTGTCAATTCTTTTGCATCCCGGCTGGCTACATAATTCACACTTCATCAGTATCTATTAGGACTCGAATTATAATTGTTAATTGGGACTTGCATCTAAAAAAATTTTCATGTAAATTAATTTTTCATTTCAATGGTTTTTTTTTTTGTTTTTTGTGTTTTTTGGATCAAGCATTTCAATGTTGGGTTGACAACGACAATTTTCTATTATATGTATTGGATAAAAGCTAATGAATATGCTGAAAAAACCGAGTTGGAAGTCAGCTTTCTATAACAACAAATATATATTCTTTTTAAATATTTTACTTATTTTTCATTCAATTGTCGAAACAAACAGAGCTTAAAAAATGAAAAAAACCAAGATATAAAACGGAGACGTAGCATTTCACTTCTTGAAAAAGCAAAGCAAACTATTTTGCTACTGTGAAGGAAGAACATGATGAATACTAAACAACCACACAGAAAGAAAGAAGAAAAAAGGGAAGAAAAAAAAAACAGAAAAATGACTAGTAATGTGCTTGATAACTTCACAAAGTTGACCTCAAACAAAAGTTGCAGCTCTACATAACTGGCCAGTTCATAGCCCAATCAACATTTTTATTTTTCATTTTTCATTTTTTTGGGTACTGTTCATCAATCATTCTAGGGAATGAAGCAGTTGCAGTCAGCAAGATTCAAACCTTCAACCCAGTGAGCCGGCTTAAAAGGTCCCGGCCACCGGGATAGGCTGACCTCTGAAAGTCCAGTCAACATTAGAACCAACTTCAGTAAACCTGCAGCATTATCAGCGGAAAAGCACCAGACCCTTAAGGGTCAGCAAAATCCCAGTTCAAACCCCAAGAAAAAATTCTTTCGATGAAAAAATGTGCGAGTATACAGATTGCAAAGGTAGAAGCCGATGCACTTACTTGCCTCAATGCTTTGAAATGATATCTATATATGCTTTGGTGTTGGATTCAGTTGTTTGCAACTTGTCAAAGGTTTTACATGCATTTGAATTGCTAGACAAAGCTGTCTGCTTCAAACTACTAAACACTTGCTTGCTTGAATCTTTTCCCACAAGAAATTTAGCTTTTAAATGTATGTACCTGTCGATAGACAATAGTGTCACAAGTTGTGTCAACTAAAATTGATCACAACACCTCCTTCTCCAGTTTTAATACAGCCATGAATGCTTCTTGAGGCACATCGACTTTGCCAATTGCCTTCATTCTCTTCTTTCCCTCAGCCTGATACAAAACAGAGACAGAGACAGAGACAGAGAGAGAATCAGTTTGCAAGAAGATATCAACAGGTTCTCCATGTTTTAATGAAGAGTAATGAATATACAAACAGAAAATTCATACAAAATTTTCATACACAGAATTATGTGGCTCACTATGAACCTTTTACTTTAAAACAAAACATCCGTGAAGATAATTTTATTTACAAACTGCTATTGCCACATTATTATGAATAGAGTTTTCCTTTAATGAGAATGAAAGAGAAGAGAAATGCAAAAATCAGTAGTTTTGGTCATTAACTATGATCAGATGTATTGAATCACACATTTCAAGTTCAATCATAATTGAGATTGAAAATTTGAAAATATATTGTGTATTGTAGAAATTTAATGTATAAAGAGAAATAGAGAATTGTATTATTGATTGATATAATGTTTATTCATATCTATTACAATGATTCATGATTCCTATATATAGAAGAGGGTGAGTGTGTAGTAGGTAAGGAGTAGGTGAAGTGGAGGTGGTAGTGGTGTAGTGGGTTAGGTTTAGTGGAGTAGGTGAGATGGTAGTGGTGTAGTGGGTTAGGTTTAGTAGAGTAGGTGAGGTGGTAGTGGTGTAGTGGGTTACGTTTAGTGGAGTAGGTTTAAGTTGGTGAAGTAGGTGGAGAGTAGGTGGATTTTAACAGCCCCCCGCAAACTCAAGGGGGATAGGAACTAACCAACTTGAGTTTGGAGAGAGTAACAAAACAAGAAAATACATAAAAAATAAAAGAGAATAGAGACACTGTATGGTCGTGTCAGACCATTGGTGAAGACACTGGATGGTAGGATACATAATCCAATGAATTTGTAATCCTAGGATTATTAGTCATGGGAATGTTAATCCAGTCCGACCAATTTATATTGGCATGTTTTTGCCTAATTGGTCCATTCTAATGGACTTGATTGCAACTAATCATTTCTCACTATTTATTTTGATTTTCAGTCGATAGGATATTGACCAATGGGAAGTGGAAGAAGAAAATACTAGAAGTTAAAAGTTGGAATCCACGGTACCTAATTTTATTTTATTACTGGAATTGATTTGTATAGGTTGTATTTAAGTTTGAGTTGGAGTTGTTGGCTTGTATTGAACAATATTTATTTTATGTTTGCGTTTTATTTAAATACTATTAAAGACTTATTTAGTTTAATTATTTATTATTGATTGATTATTTTTTTGGATTGGATTGATTTGGTTCAAGTGCATGATTCATTCAAGTTGGTTCTAAATTTAATGTCTAACTTAAACCAAACTGACCCAATCACACCCCTATATTGGTTCATATCCATAGAGATTTTTTTAATACAAGGTCTGAGCAATAAAAGTTGGAATTTTTTTTATAATAGACCCCTTGTAATAAGATTGTTTTATAAGAAACAAACAAAACCATAAGTTATAGAGTAAACTACCAATAGGTCCTAATAGTTTGACTTAATTCCAATCAAGTCCTATTGAAAATAAGTCTTGGAAAATTGTCGCTAAAAATAATTTTTTTGTAACAATTTTTTATATATGTTGCTAAAAATTGACAATTAGTGACTTCTTTTTGTCATGATTTTTATAAATTGTCGCTAAAACTTACAATTAGTGACTTTTTTATGACAAATTTTTTCTATAAAACCTATTAGACAATAAATCCACTTATTAGGACTTACACGTAAGTACCCCTAATTATAATTGATATCACTTAAAAATTTAAGTGCCTCTTAAAATGTAGGCTAAAATTTAAGAAAATTTTAAATCATATAAAAATTACTTAATTTTGACTGAATTTATAAATACTACACATAAGCATCACTATACACTATTATAAACTTATCACTACCATCGTTACCACAACTACCACCATCACCATCACCACCACCACCACCACCACCACCACCACCATTACTACCACTACCACCACCACTAACACTACTACCATGCCACCGCTATCGTGCGGATTCTTCCCCCAACTAACGAAGAGATCTTGGCGGAATTGCCACATATGAAATTGAGCACAATTTTGTAAAGAAATAGCCCACTTGTTTCTC